CAATACATTGGTTTCGCAGACCAAACGGATGTCATAACTTTCTTTAGTTTATTTGATCGAGTCTCACCCTCAACTCTTGTGTTCATCCTTCGAGATAGATACAGGATTTGAGGTAAAACGCTCTTTCATCTAAACTATGAAAATTATGGGGTCAGTTTGACTTCATCTTTTTCAAAACTAAAATTTTTTAAAAAAACGTCATTCCGAAGCGGGCAACGGGATTTCAATTCCAATGACCGACAGCTTCTTACGGGCAAACCCCACAATAAAAATAGTGTCGACAGCTTCTGGCGACTCCGCTGGGGATATTGTTATCTAAAGCAATACCGCATCAATTTTAGAGGTTGAGGATTTTACCTAGGGAACTTACATGCTTGAAGCTTGAACATGAAGAAGTTGAACTATTTTTGGTATCTGTGATTTAATCGGATGTAAAATCCGATTAACTCAAATCGGAGCATGAAGAAGTTGAACTGTTGTTACAAGTTCAATCCGTTGGAAATTATTTCCAAAGCTATTTTGTTGTATCCTAGCAAAACAGCTTCTCTTTCAATAATATCCGTCAGGCTTTTTTGAGAATCAAAAATTATTTCCAAACCCAAAACAGCTTCAATTGATTCTCAAAGCTGTTTTTTTGGGTTTCAATTATATCCTAGCAAAACAGCTTAAATCTAGCTTAAATCCGTCAGGCTTTTTTGGCGTGGGCAACCCTAGCAAAACACAAAAAAATAAATAAATAAATCCAAAACTCCATTAAATCTAATTTTTTCACGTTCCGTTTCTCTTCTTGCGTTCCATCAAATTTAAGACGTAAATACGGATTTAGTAAATCTGATTGCGAGCCCGATTTATTCCGCCGTCGCTCACGAGCTCTTCCGTTGCAGTGTCGTTCTGACAAATCCGAATTTATCATATCTTATTTAAATTAAAATTAAGTTGCAATTAAACAGTGCCTATGGAAGAATTAGAAATTAAAAAAGGGAAATTTATACAGACAACACACAATTTTTGTGCATTTACATACATTTAAACTTTCTTATTTGTGCACATACATAGATAGCATTTAAACTTTTTCAAAATAATATAATTATAAGCACCTCCTTTGTCTTACATTGCAAGGTATGTAACACTAATACCAATCCAAGAATTTATTTTGTCCTAGCCATATCAATCCATAAGGAAACATTCCAATATCACAAAAGTTCTAAATTCTAACACTTAAGTTTATCTTCATTATTTATTTTTCATTAAATTGATTCACCCTTAAACACAATTTATCGCCTCTTACAAAAAAGTTTAAGAATCGAATATAGTGACCTAGTTGTGAGAGCCATCATTCTCTCTTAAACTCATAACATTGTCCATCATCCGCATCATCATCATTATCGTCATAATCTCATCAATAGCTTCATTTTAACTATTTAGAGAACGATGGATTTATTAATCCTCATTTTCCATTCATTCTTGCTAAGTGCTAAGTGAATGTAAAACTATTTTTCTCAATTTACTTTGGATAACTTCTATTCATGTTATTTAAGGTCTAATATTTTCAAGCCCTTCTATGAATAAATCTTTATCAATATGCTATTGAAATCTATCTAAAAAGGAGATCCACCTTCACTGATAAACATAGCAGAACAGTCATCAAGCATGATTATAGAACTTTGACTATTGTTTTTATCATGATTCAATAATGTTTAAGTGTAGTTAATAAGTCTTCTCTATAAATTGGAGCGTGATGGTTGTAATAGATTTCAATGAAGAATGGCATGGAATTCAAATCGCTAAAGCTCTTCTCCTCTCATCCCTTTCACCCTTCCCCAACATGGATGTTTAATCCCTGCCTCTACACCTTAGCTAGCACTCTCCTCCTCCTCCTCCTCCTCCTCCTTCTCCCGCTCTTTTTAACCTTCTCCTCTTATTATCTTGATTTTTTCTTCCTCCTCTCCTTCCTTTTAACTAATCCTATTTGAGCTTGTTGGCTTTAACCCAAACTTCACCTTAGAACCAAACAACCATATCCGTACTTCTAGGAAAACCTCTCACTTTTCTCAAGCCAACCACACCTTTCCATAGCCATCTATTTACACTCAACCACCTTGGATCAATTTGAAGAAAATGGAGGCAATAAACTACTCTTATTCCTTGGCCAATCTTCCTTGCAACTGCATGAATTATCTCTTAAACTTAACGCAACACACATGGCATTTAGTTCAATGGATTATGCAATTTTCATCACCATAGATTACAATAACTATCTCAACTCTTCTTAAGCAAGAGTTGAGACGTCTGGCAAGAGAAACAACAACCACGCAACTGTATCTGCACCATTCTCTACAAGATGTGCCTTTTATGGGCTTAATCAGTGTCATAAAAACTTGGAATTTGACTTCTTTTTAAGAAAATTGGTGCTCATACCAGTATATAATATCTGCAAGAATTGAAAATAAAAAGTAACTGCCGCAAACCAACGTCTATTTGCATATCAGCGTGAACAAGCATTTGTCTTAACAAAATTCATCCAAATTTATGTGGCTACTTTTATCTCACCTCAGTAATTATACCTAAACATTTTACAACTTCACGACATCCTAACCTTTTTGCCTCATTATGTAGCAAAACATACTTAATAGAATACCAAAAAAAGGAAGTCTTATATGTTCTAACCTGTAGTCTCTATACAAGATCAGCAAACAAAGATGCCCGCTTATGCCGCTGATCTCAGCAGAGAGACTATTCCGTCAAGCACAAAGAGTCTCGTCGTATGATAGCACCTGAAAGCCCTCCGCCTCTTCTAATTGCTGATGATCTCGCAGGCGCCGATGAAGAGGTGAAGTTTAAACGCATGGCGGATGAAGAACGATGAAGTTTCTAGGGCATGCTCTACAATTGAAATACCGAGTATGAAAGACTTGACCGGTACCATCGTCATTATTCTATGGGGAGCGTGAGTTTGGCTCGAAAATCTATAATTGCTCCAAAATTGGTCCAATTTTTTCTTAGGTTCAAGATAAGCTAAAATTTTGAATTGAGTTTTCCTCGAGCCGATCTTACTCAGTCTCGAAATCAGGTCATTAACAATTCTAGTGAATTTAATGAATTTAGCTCTAAGATCGTCAATTGCTTGAAAATTGGTTCGAATTTTGGCTTGGTTCAAGATCGTTTCGAAATAAACGAGCTAAGTTATGAGTCAAATTTTTGGATCGATTTTAATTTAAAATCCATTTTGAGTCGGCCCCAGCTCGGCTCGAAATTGGAACCTGTTTTGAAGAACCAGCTCAGCTCGGATCGGTTAATAACCCTGATATGAAGGCATGATATTGAGCCTGTTTTGAAAAATATGTGATTAGTAAAAAAAGATCAATAAAATTAAAGTTATATGATTATGTTTTATAAGCCAAATAAACAATTACATATTCGAGCAATTATATAATAAGTTACATGAATTGGTACTTGAATAATAAAAAGTAGAAAGCAAAACTCATTGGTTGCTTGATATAAAAAATATGAGGTGTATAGTGTGAGTATGAACATGGATCTAGAGTAGACAAATTTTGATGAAGAGATTAACTCCATTGAAGAGCTTGTTATGTTTGTTTTAAGTATGGTAATTGTGTCTGAGTTTGTTTAATTGATAAGCCCGACGTGAGTTTAGTAATAAACTTTTTTTGAACTCTGTTAGTGAGTTTTGCTTTAAACCTAACTAAATGTCTGCCTTAGACATGACTAGCAATTCTATCTGAGTCCCAACTCATAATTCAATATTGAGCTTAATTAACATGCTTGGCCTTGAAATATTTAAATGTATTTTTAGAATATGTCAACAAAAAATAAGAGAATAATATCAATAAGATTATATTTTCTTGATAAAAAAGTGATTATTACCTATCATTTTTTTCTTAGAACATCTTGCATCTCCATGACAAATTTATTTATTTTGTAAAAATGGGTGAGAAATATAATATACATTTATGTGCATGAAAAAGATAGCAAATACTTTTAAAGATATCGCTAATTTTGCAATTTAAACTAATTTGATTTTTTAATCCATATTAGCATGGTTAAGTTTCTACAAGTATAACTTTCATTTCTCATTAGAATAAATACAAGAACTTTGGATCATCTTTTCCTACAACATCTAACATATTTGACCATGAGATCACATTTATTCTAAAGGATAATATTGAAGTTTCATAGCACATTATAATGACGAGTGTCTAGTGCGTCTTAAAATTATCTACTTTTATATATACATTTTATGCTCATTTTTAAGGATATGGTGCTTTAAAGAAATGTATTTTCTATTTTTTTTTTATTTCAAGTACATGAAATGGAGTATAAGAGCGAAAGAAGCAAAAAATGGAGCAAAATAAGGTCAAATGAAGTCAAGGAACAAAAATTAACCTGGTGTTTAGCCACTAGAATCTGGCACCTAGGCGCCAGGTAGTTAATTGGGGATTCTAGAAGGCTGGCGCGTAGGCGTCATAAATGGTTTGAATGTTTTGACATTGAATTTTGACAAAATATGAAGAGGTGCTTGAAGTGAACCTTAATGATTTTGAGAGCTCTATTTAATAGAGTCATTGGCTGGTCAAAAATGAGAGCTTTTAATGGGTGTCTTGAGTTTTAGTGTGAGGTGTGTGGGTGTGTGAGTGAGTCTTTTTAGAGTATGTTTTTTTGTGTTTATTAGAGGAAGAAAACAACAAAGGAACTCCAAATGATTTGATTGGGGAGAAGTTTAAGATAAGTTCCTTGTATTTTTATTTAAGTTTTATTTTATTGTGTAAACTTAGACTTTAATATAATCACGTTTTGTTGTGTTATCCCCATGACTTATGAGTAGTTTTCCTTTTCTTTCTCCTTGCAATAAGAAGTAATCATGTATAGGATTAGAATTGTATAAGATTTGTATTATTCTGTATTTGTGAAGATTCATTACTTCGTACTTCATTTACATCTTCAATCTGGTCAATTGAAATGTTAAAATTCATTGTGAGCCCATAATGATCAGGGGGGATATGTATTCCTCAATTACTAAGAATCACATTAATTTTGTGGGTGAAAATGTAATATATGGGTTAGTGCAAATAGATAGAGAGATAAGTTTTGATGGGCGCAGAATTGGTGATTCTAAGGTGACATGTTAGAACCTTTACTAATTTGAACTAGAGTTGGAACCTGAGGTCTGGTTAGTTCTATAGAGATCACACAGTGGGTAATCTAGAAGTGACAGGCTAGAACCTACCCAGAATAACCATATCAATTAAGAACTTACTTTAGGTTAGTCAATATTCTTTTTGCACTCGGGAGAGGGTAAGGAATAGGTATGCTCCTATTTGACACAAAACTACATTTTAACTTTTAAACATTTAATTCCTACATTGTGATATCGATATTGGTTTTAAAGAAAATCTTATTTTACTTGAAACGATACATATACTTGTGTAGTACCCCTAGTGTGTAAACCATTAATTAAACTCTGAATTATATAACATATTTATTATACACACTAGCTGCTAAAATATATTGGGTCAAGTTTTTTGCCATCTTTTGGAAATTAAATATCTACGTAATTTCGGATTGGGTCAAGTTCTTGGCACCATTGTCAATGAAGGAAGAAAAAAAGGAACGAAATTTAAGTAACAGAACTTTTTAACTTAGAAATTTTATTTGAACTGTAGATTTATTTTAGAAAAATTGTAGTGAATTTTTTTATATAAATATTAATTTATTTCTTTGAAATATAAAAAAACTTATAAAAAATTTAAAAATTGAAAATTTTAATTAAAAAAACCAAAAACATAAAAAAATTAAAGAAATAAAAAATTTTAAAAAAATAATATTTTAAGTGTTTCTGTTTTTTTTATTTTTTTAACTATCACTTTTGCATGTGTAGTTCAGGAGCTAAAAGTTTAGTACCTTACGATTTCAATTTAGAACGAAGCATAAGAAAAATCAGAAAATGAAAAGAACTTCATAATTTTCAAAAAATGGCTAATACTTCACATAATAGCATAGATAATCAAACAATTGAAAATGAGCATCATCATATACAAAGACCTTTAAGGGATTATGCAAACTCTACAACATATGAAATTCAGTTAAGTACACAAGCTTCTGTTATAGCAGCTAACTCATTTGAACTTAACTTTGTTATAGTACAAATGATACAAAATAATCAGTTTATGGGAATGTCATTTGAAAATCTAAACTTACACCTTGCAAGTTTTTTAGAACTGTGTGCTACATTTACGCACGATGGTGTATCAAATGATTTTGTTAGGATTAGACTTTTTCTTTTTTTCTTAAGGGATAAAGCTAAGATATGGTTAAATTCATTAGCACCTGGATCTTTTATCAGAACTTGAGGAGATTTAGCACAAAAATTTCTGGCTAAGTATTTTCTACCTTTAAAAACTGCTAAACTTAGAAATGATATTATTTCTTTTACTTAGTATGAAGGTGAGTTAATATATGAAACTTGGGAATGATTTAAAGAACTCCTTAGGAAGTGTCCACATCATACTTTACCAAACTTGTTAATTATTCAAACATTTTATAATGGGTTAGCAGGATCCCTTAGATCTATTTTTGATGTTGTTGTTGGAGGTTCCTTAATGTCTAAACCATTTGATAAAGCTTACGAATTAATAGAAGAAATTGATACTAACAATTTTTAATGGCCCTTTGAAAGGTTAAATTCTAAGAAAGTAGCAAGTGTTCATGATAATGATGTTATTTTCATTTTGGCATCTCAAGTTGCTGTAATATCTAAGAAGTTAGATCAATTCAAAATGAACTTTTTCTCAAACACCTCATGTGATTAAAGAAAACTCATTGGGACAATTGATTGATTCTCAACCTTCATTTGAAACTTTGATGCAATTAACAATAAACCCAATAACTTATACTCTAACTATTATAACTCGGGTTAGAAAAACCATCTTAACTTTGATTGGAGTAATAATTAATGTGATGAAGATTGAATCCAATAATGAAAGATGGATTTTGGAATCATTTATTTTATTTATTACAGTGTTTGGGTTAGTCCAATTCATTGTGTTCCTAAGAAAGAATGAGTGACTTTAGCTATTAATGAAATGAATGAATTAATTCTAACAAGACAAGTCACTAGGTGAAGAATCTGTATTGATTATAGAAAATTAAATCTCACCACAAGAAAAGATCACTTATATTTGCTTTTTCTGAATCAAATGTTGTATAGGCTAGATGGGCACCGTTATTTTTTGCTTTATTGGATGGATATTTTGTATACCACCAAATACCCATAGCTCATAAGAATCAAGAGAAGACAACATTCACAACTCCTTATGAGATTTTTGCTTTTAGAAGAATGTCATTTAGTTTATGAAATGCACTTGCAACTTTTCAAAGGTGTATCATGTCAATTTTCTACGACCTAATTGAGAAAGAAATTGAAGTTTTTATAGACGATTTCTCAGTTTTGAGACCTCCTTTAATTCATGTTTAGATCATCCAACAAGATTTCTAAAACGTTGTGAAGAAAAAAATTTAGTTCTTAAATGGAAAAAGTGTCAATTTATGGTTACATGAGGAATGATAAAAAATTTCTGGAAATTACATAGAGGTAGATCTAACAAAAATAGAAGTCATTGTTGAACTACCACCTTTATTACTATGAGATGAGTTAGAAGTTTTCAAGGATATACTGGATTTTATAGGTGTTATATTAAAGACTTTTCTAAAATTGCCAAGCCTTTGTACCATGTTTTAGAAAAAAGATGTGATATTTGATAAATTATACTACCATTGAGAAAGAATTATTGACAGTAATATATGCATTTGATAAATTTGGATCATATTTAATTAGAGTTAAATGTATTGTGCATATTGATCACTCTGCTATTAAATATCTAATGTTGAAGAAGGATGAAAAACCGAGGTTAATCAAATGGGTCAT